GAATCATTGATCCTCAAAATTCATAATTTGATCACAAAACGGTATCGTTTCTTTCTTGTAGCCTTTGACTAAGATGTCCACAAATGGAACACAATCGTTTTAATTAGCCAACAAGTTTACTCTCTCCAGCTTCTTCACATTTCTCGTAATATTAATTGTATCCAGGAAATCGTGTGATGAGAGTAATGTTATCGAAATGCTCTTGATGGGAGGGTCTTGCCCTCTAAACACAAGAGCTCCACCAACGACTTGAGAATATACTTTGAATGCATAGAGAGGAGCCAACGTGTCGAAGTTAATGCCTGTTAGAAATGATATTCATGTTCACTGTAGACACGCCTGTTTATTGCAAAACGTTCTGCTTCTCTTCATTGTTTCATTCTGTCCCATTATCGAATAATTTCTCATAATCTGTTCTCAATAGTCGAGGAATATACTCAAGACGATCTTGCGGACTGAGCAGATGTGATAACATAATTTGTCAATTTGGACGAGACTGTATTTGATAAAAAAACATTTGGTCAAACAGAAACACGTTTGTCTGTTCGCTTATTCTAGGAGGTGAAATGTGGGTCATGCGATGCGTGTCTTCTGATAAATTCGTGATTTTATTGTTGGACGTTTTGAATTTAGTGAATGATGTGTTCATTGTGTCAGTGTATTAAATTAGATAAAGACAGGAGATTTCAAACTCTAATGAGAAGACGGAAGAGTAAACAAAGATTGCTCCTATCATCAGAAATATAGAAGACGGAAGAGTAAACAAAGATTGCCCCATCATAAGAGATATAGAAGACGGAAGAGTAACAAAGATTGCCCCTATCATCAGAGATATCGAAGACGGAAGAGTAAACAAAGATTGCCCTTATCATCAGAGATATAGAAGACGGAATAGTAACAAAGATTGCCCCTATCATCAGAGATATCGAAGACGGAAGAGTAAACAAAGATTGCCCCTATCATCAGAGATATAGAAGACGAAAGAGTAACAATGATTGCCCCTATCATCAGAGATATAGAAGACGGAAGAGTAACAAAGATTGCCCCTATCATCAGAGATATAGAAGACGAAAGAGTAACAATGATTGCCCCTATCATCAGAGATATAGAAGACGGAAGAGTAACAAAGATTGCCCCTATCATCAGAGATATAGAAGACGGAAGAGTAACAATGATTGCCCCTATCATCAGATATATAGAAGACGGAAGAGTAAACAAAGATTGCCCCTATCATCAGAGATATCGAAGACGGAAGAGTAAACAAAGATTGCCTCATCATCAGAGATATAGAAGACGGAAGAGTAAACAAAGATTGCCCCTATCATCAGAGATATAGAAGACGGAAGAGTAAACAAAGATTATAGTTAATCGTTCAAAAATATACTTTAGATCAGTCTACGGAATACGTCCTCTCGAGATATAGGTCAAGTGAAAGGGAGAAAAGAGATACAAAGTTCAAGACACCTGTTATGACTGTCAGGAAAGACATCCAAAAGACAGTGAAAAGGAATAAATCGTGCTAGTGACTAAATTCTAAAAAGACCCTCACAATGAAAGAAAGAAGGAAAGAAGGAAGGAAGGAAAAAAGGAAAGAAGGAAGGTAGGAAATAAAGAAGGAAGGATAAAAGGAAATAAAGAAGGAAGGAAGGAAGGAAGGAAAGAAGGAAAGATAGAAGGAAGGAAATAAAGAAGGAAAGAACGAAAAAAGGAAAGAAGTGAAGAAAGAAGGAAAGAAAGAAAGAAGGAAGGAAGGATAAAAAAGAAAGAAGGTAGGAAGGAAAGAAAGAATGAAGGGGAAAGAAGGAATGAACGAAGAAAGGAAGGAAAGAAGGAAAATAAATAAAGAAAGAAAGACCGTTTGTCTAAAGTGTTTACATAATCATTCTCACTTCAATGTATCAGTTTCTCTGCACCAGTGCATTAAGCCACGACCAAATATCCTAAAATACATAAATATAGACGTTGTTAATATTTACGATACTTCGTTCAGTAGTCGGGAGTAGATTTTCTTTAATACTCCTTTTTTACTGATACTTGTTTTGTTACTCAATACTCGCTTTTCTTATCTCAGCTCGACACTTACTAATAAAATGCAAGAAACCCTCGCAAAATATATGACTGCCTTGTTGTATATTCCCCATTATCGCAAAAAAGTCACTGTTTTGTAATCTTGAATATGGGATTTTCTACGCAATGCAAGAAATACGCACATGAAGATATGTGAAATTAATTCAACCTTTGGTTATTAAAGAGCTCTTCATACATCCTTCGCATCTATCCTATCTGATTCTGACATATAAGAGTAAACTAACACAATTCCAAAGAAGCATTCGCTTTGATTTTCTTATTAGCAGGCATCTGTCTTAATAATTTTCCACCCTTTGATTTTAAGGTTTAATGTTTGCACTATTACGGACGAGAAGAAAGGACATGTAACAATTATAAGAATATCTCTGGATTGCAGATATAGAAATAAATCAACGAAACAATCGAATTAAATCCATAAATAATACAAGAATTAAAGAAACAAATCCTGGTTATTAAAAGTCATGAATAAAAACAAAGTTTAAGTCTCAGAGATCTAAAACTGCAGACGATGACGTATCTGTTATAGCCTACGAAGTACTGATGTCAACAGCCTTTTGTATATTATTCTAAGTTTGAATTCAGTATAGTTTCCAATTAATGTCTTGATCCAAAATTTTTATCTGAGCACTTTTTGTATTTCCAGGGAAATAATTATTTGAATTCAATAATTTGAAAAAAAAATAAACTTCAGACCAAACTGGTCACAACATAAGTTCAACTTAAAGTGCTAGATGTTAAAGCACGACTGGTAAAATCCTCACAGTCACAAGATAATATAACTCTCTGCTTAACCTCAATTCACAATTAGAAGTTTCTAAAAGCAACCATTACCTAATTGAAAATGAACTTTTAGAATGATCGAATGAGAATCGTTTATTTACAATACAATAGCCTAAAAATTCACTTAGGAATCTCCAAAACCCTGACCCAGATCAACGTATTTACTCCTTGTTTACCTTAATAATAAGTGTATTAATAGGCTCATGCACACAGAGAATAATGAAGATGTTATTAGTTGTTTACATAATAAAATAAAAAAGTCAAACGGGTCAAGCAGAAATGAACTCAATCTTGTACAAAGTCAAGTCCAGTAAACAATGTTACATTACAATAGCATGCAAAGAAATAAAAGAAATTTAAAGCAAACAAACCAACAATTAAATTAAATATACCTAAAACTTTCCTTCCTAAAGAAAAATAATGACTTGCACAATAAAGCTTTCTATTGGTCTGACGGTGTGGATATAGGTCAGTAGAAATTGGTGCAGCTTAGTAAGAAGCACCGTATTAAATTTAACTGTGATACTAGTCAATTATAGCCAGTTTTTTGTTATGTCTTTCCGTTGTCCCTCGTGCCCTCTAACCTCTGCTGATTCTAATGGACCTGTTCACTAAGTAATCAATATCTATTCTTGAAACTTAGCCTTCAGGCTTGAAATCTTATGATAAGACTCAAAATGTTGAAGGCACAAAAAGCATACAAAATATAACACCTGACAGTTTAAATGTTTAATACTCGCATGGCATATAAACTATATCTGACAGTCTATGTTTGGAATATATCGATCAAATTGGTTATCATAAACAGGAAGATACGTTTGTATGCATTCAGAAAAAAGGAGACATCGATTTCCGTACTATCAGTTACAGAACAATATCAAAAGTATATCTCTTATTCAGCGGGCAACGGATATAACTAATCAGCAAATGACTTAATGTCTGGTGTGGCTTGAAACAGGTTTTCGATTTCCGACATTGGTATGTATTATTTCAATTGTTTCAAACAAACAACTAGCATATATTTTGACAGAGACATCTGCGATTGCCATTTATCGTAGACGCATTTTGACATGGCATACCTTTTTGAGAATGCAGCTTTTAGTTATTGGTACGTATACATGAATCAACTTGGGTACATTATAGCTGCTTGTCATCATCAGTCATTAGGTGGATTACGAGGTTATTAAAATGCCAACAAAAATAATTATAAACTTAATTTGTCAAGGACATAATTTGTATCTTCATGGCATTAATGTTTGGAAAATAAAGATCTGAATGAGAGCGATTTATAATGGTATGAATATTATTTATTGCCAATAGGTGTGAGATTTCCAGACAGCTTTATTTTATAATGATACAGTTTTGTTTTTCATACACAATGACAGTGACAATATTTAATTGGAGGTCACCATCATTGTGCAGCATTGAAATTCACAATGATTGTAACCTTTGTGTAAATTATGATAGGACTCGGATTACTATCTTTGATAAGCATTTTTGATTTAATATATTTTTAAGGGCTGTTATATCCTATCCCAGAGGGGCACAATTTGACCACAATTAAAAGTTCTTGACTTTTAGAGTCAACTTTAATCTTATTCTGTTATTCTTCTTCTCTTTCTACCCGTATACACTTTTCTATGCCTTTACTGGAGCCCTCTTCGATGCATGACTACGCTTTAACCTTTGATCCCTCATCCTTCATCAAGGCAATTATATACTTTACAGACTACCTGATAAGCACAAGTAACATCCTGCAGTTTATTTTTTTTTATTCCTAGAAAGGTAATCATAAGTTAGTAAAAACTAACAAAGCATGTTAACTAAAATCCGGTTTAAATGACATAGTTTATACTAGGCAATGTACACCTAAATTTAACCAAACAACTATGTCTTTTTTATTTAAATTTTTAACTTAGCCTTAATAATGTTTCAGTCATATTACTACGATATTTGCAGTTTGACAGTTTATAGTGATATCTAGCACTGGGATATCATGCAGCAGACATGTAGCATCATGTCCCACCCATTCACATTATCCTGACAAAAGTCCGACCAATCCGAACACCATCCTCTTAATATTAAGTGCCTAGCGAAGCAGCTGTTAGTACCATTTTTATAAGTTTTTGGTATGACTCTGATGAGGTACGAGCCAGCGACCTCCCGCATCCGAGGCGGAAGCTCTAACCACTAAGCCACTGGCGTGGTCACCATCTGTAGAGGAAGATTATCGAGCTATAAAATGGCTTTGTTAATCGATTTCCCAATTTTAATGACTGTATGGTTGTCTTTTCAACGCGAATTAGTTATATTCCAGTGTAAGGATTTCTTAGTACGAACTTTATATTAGCATTATGGAACATAATGTCATTACCTCATTTATGTTTAGAATTCGAAAGAATACCTTCCGATGTATAATGATGTTTAAAGGTGTTTAGAACACAATATCGTCCATTATTGTGAGAGATATTAAATAAAACAAAAAAAAAGCTTTGTATTGCCTGTGTTGGTTGTTTATTTCATACAGCTTGTTCAATACGCAAAGTTTTTTAATAACAACAAATGACACCGGAAATGAAAGTTTTCATTGAAACTGGGGATTACCCAATTTTCGGCATGGATTATTTTTAATCTTTATTTTTCAATTAGAGGGATTTGTCTGTGTACAGTTTCGACGAAATTTCCTGACTTAAAACTGTTGTCAATTATAAAGCTTGATCTAACACTTTGTTATCAAATATGGACCTTGAAAAATTCGAGTGATACTAATGATGGAGTGATACGCCAGATGGGTTAGTAGACGTGCCATATAATGACATTAGTAAGCACTCTGGGAAAAGCACACATTCTATGTATGTATGTATGTATGTATGTATGTATGTATGTATGTATGTATGTATGTATGTATGTATGTATGTATGTATGTATGTATGTATGTATGTATGTATGTATGTATGTATGTATGTATGTATGTATGTATGTATGTATGTATGTATGTATGTATGTATGTATGTATGTGCATGCATGCATGCGCGCACACACACACATGTATGCATGCATACTTACATACATACGTACGTACGTACATACATACATATTATATATATATATATATATATATATATATATATATATATATATATATAGATAGATAGATATAGATAGATAGATATAGATAGATAGATATAAAGATATATCGTTATTGCTGAATGTTATATTCTTTTTCTTTAATTTTGTTACTTGTGCACTGAGACTTAGATTGCTGCTATAGCGTTTCATTTCTGTCATAGCATTTGAACAATTTTTCCAAAAATTGGATGAGAGAAGTGGTGTTCGACTGTTAACTTGTTCGTTTGTAAAGATACAGAAGCGCAGGTAATACATATAACATCAAAAGGGACTTTCCGGACTTATCATTTTAAATCTTCAGATAGCAGCGTTACTCATAATAAATTGACACAGCTTGCTAGAATAGACTGGTTTATTGGATCTGGATTTAGTGTGGCTAGAATCGACAGGTTTCTTAGATCCCGATTTAGTGTAGCTAGAATTGGCTGGTTTCTTGGATCTAAATTTAGTGATAAAAACAGCATTTAGTAAAGTTTTGGTTGCAACATTCAGCGACTTTTGGAAAGTTTGTGGTGTTAACGATTTTCTTTTCTTTTTCTCGTTTGTTAGGTAGATTATTTGATCTAAAAAAAGAAAAAAAGCGAGCAGTGGTATAGGAATTTTGCAAAATCTATGTGTATGATACGAGTGTTTCTCCTTGGTGTGCGAAAACTTTAAAATGAAATGTGATCCGGTGATCATGTTTTAAGGTCAAATATCTACACTACTCACTATGAAAAGGTAATGGACCCTCACATTGTCTATATTTGAACCCTCATATTGTCTGCATATTTCAACCCTCGTATTGACTGTATATTTAAACCCTCATATTGTCTATATTGAACGCTCTTATCGTCTGTTTATTTGAACCTTCGTTTCGTCTGTTTATTTGAACCCTCGTATCGTCTGTTTATTTGAATCCTCGTATCGTCTGTTTATTTTAACCCTCGTATCGTCTGTTCATTTGAACCCGTATCGTCTGTTTATTTAAACCCTCATATCGTCTGTTTATTTGAACCCTCATATCGTCTGTTTCTTGGAACCATTGTATCGTCTGTTTATTTAAACCCTCATATCGTCTATTTTTCTTTAACCCTTCTATTGTCTGTATATCTGAACCCTTCTGTTGTCTGTATATTTGAACCCTCATATCGTCTGTATATTTGAACCTTCATATTGCCTGTATATTTAAACTATCATATTGTCAGTTTATTTGAACCCTCGTTGTCTATATATTTGGCAGTGGAACTATGCTACCTCAGCGTTTGATTAGCATAAGATAGCAATCCTTTGATATAAAGAACGAGCAATTCACATCAAATATGTCATAATCGTTTTTTTTTTTTTGTCATCACTGATTCCAGGACTCGCGTTTGGAACCATGACTCGTTCTGATATAGCTAACAAGACGTAAGTATATGATTATGACTTGTATGTATGTTACTAAATTAATTTAGTATTATCTGAAAACTTGGTCATCAAAATTATTGGAAAAACATATCCCCCACCAATGAAACAATTCAAATGAACAAACCTATAAATTTGTTTTGTTTTCAAATTGTTCTCCAATATTCATCAATTGAGATTAAACTCCTAATCAATATCAACCTGGTCGATCACCACAAGTATCTATGGATATATTCACGATCCAATCAAGTATATAGGTATATATTCACGATCCAATCAAGTATCTAGGGATATATTCACGATCCAATCAAGTATATAGGTATATATTCACGATCCAATCAAGTATCTAGGGATATATTCACGATCCAATCAAGTATATAGGTATATATTCACGATCCAATCAAGTATCTAGGGATGTATGCACGATCCAATCAAGTATATAGGTATATATTCACGATCCAATCAAGTATCTAGGGATATATTCACGATCCAATCAAGGGACAAGGATATAATATGTAAATAATCTTGTAAACACCGCAGACAAGCAACTTTAAAAGCTTAAACATACTTAATAAATTCAACTGTCAACAAAATTTGTTTAATATCCATTCAACCAAACCTTGAATTTATTAGTGATATTGAAAGTTGATGAATGCTGGAAAAAAATATAACAACTTAAAGTGACGATAATAGTTAATGGCTTCCCTATCGGTGTCGATAGAAATACTTTTCATTATCGTTGTCGATAGAAATGCTTTTCATTATTATTGTCGATAGAAATGCTTTTCATTATCGTTCTCGATAACTGTTTCTTTATATGTACGGTACGATTCCTACCTGAAGTAGATACTCGAAGATCAACGAATAAAGTTTGTGGCATAGGGTTTTACCGATTAAATCAATATTATGCACCTTTCAGATCACCATCTTGCCAATTAGACCTTATATTCCGTGACTGTCTTCGTCAACTTTGTGTTCAGTGGAATTTGGATTATGTGTTTTACATGATTGTATCCTGATCAGATTCATTTCGGTATGCAGACTCGAGATTTAAATTATCTGGCAAGCACATTTTCTTTTTTTTTCCAATATCAATATCATTCTATCTTTTAGAAGCCATATGATATACTTGTTTACAGTCTTATAATTGCAATACCAATTTTCGAAGGAAGCAAGAGGACAGTCCTAAGAGAAATTCTTCGGGTTGGAAACATTTTTGTTGTTGATTCCTTACTATGACTTCTGTCGTTATTCAGATAGTATATTTCGTTAACATTCTTTGTGATTTTATGAAGCTACCTTGTACTGCATTTTTCATTGGTGACATGCCTCATATGCCACTCCAGGATTTGAAGGTTTCGATTGCAACAAGATAAACCGAGTTTGGGATTTTCGGATTTACAACAAAATACCATTGATGGGAATGCAATACAATTTTTAATGTTACATGAAAATATAAAATTTAGTATGATAAATACGTGCGTGCATGAGTCCCAATATGGGACTAATTAACATAATTAGCACGATCTTTCTGTTACAACAAATACGATACCAAGACAAGTAAAAAAAAGCAATTCACGGTTTATCACAAAATTTAAATAGGATCTTCACAATAGTAAAATACAAACGATATTTTGCTCAAAATGACGAATTAATTGTTTTACTCATAATGGCAAAACCTATAATATGTGGTTCAAAATAACGAATTGCTAGTTTACTCACAATAGTAGAACACAGGGTATTACAAATGACCTTGCATTAGCCCACGGTCAAAATATTTTATATCTGGAGCAATGTATATGCTCCATTTGATACCAGCTCCACAAGCAAAGATTATTCCTAGTCACCTGATCACCATTGATTCCTGGGTTAGACAATTAACGCCAACCACTTTGGTCTGCAACGCCTGATCACTCTCAACCCGACTAGCAACGTTGGAATATTCGAAGCACTCGAAAACATACGCACAGCCTAGCTCAGCACTGCACAAGCAGCATACACACCTGTACACACAGCACAGCTCAGCATTGCAAACGCAGCAGACACAGCTCTACAGCAGAGTTATACAGCACTGCACACTATACAGCACAACATAGTACAGCACTGCACAATCTACAGCACAACACAGCTGAAAATATATTCAATACCGTGTACTACGCATGACACTGGTATATTTGGTAGTACGCAACAACGGAATATACGGTAAGTTATATACATTATCAGTCTTGCATTATAAAACGACAAACAATAAACATGTTCAAAAGAAAATTGGTAAATTATAAGATTCATAATGCACTAAACAATCATTCATGAAATGCAATCTTGTAGAGTTCTTGCTAAATCACAGATAATATAATATATTATCATTTATTAAACAGCATTTACTAAACAAAACGAAGCGACAGAAATACGAAATCAACACATGATGATACAATAGATATAAATTACAATTCATATATATAGTATTAGAAAACCAGGTTTTCAACTCACTTTGTTTTTTTACCCTCCAAACAAGTATAAAATATAGTCCTAAATTATCCCCCACCCTATTAGAAAACCAGGTTTTCAACTCACTTTGTTTTTTTACCCTCCAAACAAGTATAAATTATAGTCCTAAATTATCCCCCACCCCACCCCCTTTTTTTTCCAAAATAAAACAGGGTTTTGACTCACCCTCCCCCACCTCTT